GTGTGTGTGTGTGTGTGTGTGTGTGTGTGTGTGTGTGTGTGTGTGTGCGCCTTGTTTTTGTTTGGCCAGGTTTAATTTGATCAGAGTGTGGGCCCAGTGGCGCGATGGATTAGCGAGCTAGCTCTCTCAGTGTTGTGATAACTAGCAGCATCTGCGCTACTTAACTGAGTCCAGATGAATGTCGGTGAAGGAGAAGGATCCTGTTACTAGTGCGCTGAAGAAAGAGACACACGCGCACACACGAACCAATACCCCAGCTTACTATGACTTTTAACCCGAACCCCAAGCCTCTAGTCTTAAGCCTCCGTGATAAAAGCAGTAAAGTGACTTGATTGAAAAACCCAGCGTGTGGATCCCTATGAGAAACGCAACGTGTGTCAAACACTTAACTGTTTTATTAATGGGGTGGACTCGAGCGCACGGGTGGACACCTACACCCACATTCTTTCATGCCACATGGAGAGAGCAGACACAGACGTAGAGGAGAAAGCTTGGCAACACTCCACCACTGCCTGGTGAAATGGATTTTGCTCATGCAGGGTCTTTTATTAAAAAGTCCTCTCCTGGAGTGTTTCTGTGGTCAGCCCCCACCCCCAACTCCCCCAGCTCTCACTCCACATTTGGGAGCCATTAGCAGGCTGAATGTGAGGCTACTGTACACCCCCACACATTATGTGTGAGGCCTGGCGGGGAAAAGCCTGGATTATGATACACCATCATACAGGTGTGTGTGTGTGTGTGTGTGTGTGTATAAGACAGTACAAAAACAGACCTATCAAATACCACATTCTCAGTCCACTGTGATTTATATGTTTTACTTACAAACTCAAAGGCACACAAGCGTACATTTCTGACCAGTGACCACCTTTTCTTACCCTTTTCCTCTCTGTGCCTCTCTCCAGGCGGAACATTCCCCCGACGGGCCCGAGGTGGGCTACGGCTCCTTCCACCAGCAGTACTGGCTGGACGGGCGCATTGTGGCGGTGGGGGTGATCGATATCCTGCCTACATGCGTGTCCTCCGTCTACCTTTACTACCACCCAGACTTTGCCTCGCTGTCTCTGGGCTCCTACTCTGCCCTCAGGTTGGTTGCCAGGACTTAGACCATCCCACAAAACGTGTCGCAAAACATATTAGATGGTGGAGATTGTTGGTAGCGCCGATGGCATGTCTGGAATGGTGTCCGTGCTCATGCTTGATAACATCCATATTTTTGTTGCTTCGTGTCACAAACAGGATGCTGCAGTTTGTTCTGATGGATATCAAACAAGAATTTGCAGCAGATTTCTTGTCAAATGTAACCCAGTGGTGCTCAATGCAAATTATGAAGTAGCATAAAAGCTTTAGGATTATCCAGTTATTTACAGTAACTATACTGTGTCTTAAAACGAATAGAGTAACGATTCAATGTCGCTCTTTTCATGAGGAGTTGCTTTGCCTCTCGTCGGTGACCGTTCCCTTCTTTGTTCTCGCTTTTATTCTTCCTCCCTTTTCATCCCTCACACTTGCCCTCCTCTCGACCTGCTCTCTGCCTGACTCTTGATCTTTTTGTCTCCTCCCAAATTTTTTATCTTCCCTTAGAACTGTATACTATAAGTGCCATAATACTGTAGGTCGTGGAAAAGTACCTCTTTCTTCACACTTGATTGGCCGAGGCAGTGCTCCGTTTGTGGTTCAGCTGACGACGGCGCTCTCTGCCAAGATGAAATAAGAGAACACACACATACGCTACAGGCGCACATATCTGCCGTTTCCTGTAAAATGTAACCCAATAATGTGAGAATGGCCTTTTCAAATATTTCTGCCCAGATGTGGGGGAACTGCGGGACCTCGTCTTCAAAGTTGCCTGTGTGCAGGTGCGAGCGTTCGTTCGTGTGCACGCACGTGTCGCGCGCACTAAGTCAGCCCTAGCAGTTCGGACGGACGGGCTCTGCTCGTATCGAGGGAACACCCTGGTCATGACTTATTATTTTAAGAGTCCGACTCCAAGAGTAACACAGAGTGCTCGGTGTGTGGAGGAGGCCCCTTAGGAGGGAGCCAGCGGGACTAAAATCCTCCCGTTTGTTTACAGACACCAGAGCCCGGCCTTTGATCAGGTCTGGACACTCCCTTGTCTGCTGGGCCTGGCTGACTCTGTCCAAAACTTACTGTTCAGAACGCATGTGCGCACACCCCCACACAACGTGTGCAAACAGTTAGAACATTAGATTAGATGGTGTCTCTTCTCCACAGTAAGCCCAACTGCATTGGAACTTGGGCTGTTCAACCATGTACAAGTGCACCCCTTTTAAAATAACCATGTACATGTTAACAGTGTAGCAGAACTTAGCTTTGTTTTTGGGGGGGGGGACGACCCTGTTTTGTTGTCGTCATCTGAGAAAACAGCCGTAGAATTTGGATTATGTTACAGTTATGGCGAAAGATGTTTCAAAAGTACAAAAACAAGTACAGCACAGTGTGTACTTCGGTCCTCTGTACATCGGTATGTGTGTGTGCCTGTGATTCAGCAGTAGAAACAGGAGAGGGGGGTGTTGAGAAATTTCTTGCAGGAGTGTAGCTCCCTCTGCCACGGGCCCAGAGGACAGAAGGAGGAGGAGGAGAAGTAAAGAGGCACATAATGAGGTGCCTGAGGCGCTGTGTGTAGCAAACACAGCTGGTGTCCAACCTCGATCACTTTCTTCTGGGGATGTCTCGATTATGTTGTGTTGCCCGCGATTCTCATCCAAGTTCTTAAATATTTAGTAATTGCTGATACTGCACTCATTAAAAAAAAAAATTAAAAAAAAAAAAAGTTAGCAGTAGGCCTACTTTAGAATAAGTATAGCTGTTTAGATTTTACATAGCCGACAAAAAACGCATTTCAGCTTTCCATTAATGATTTTTTTAAAAGTAATATGTTGAATAGTTGTGCATAGTTTTTGAGCATTTTAAGTTCAATGTCCACAGCAACATGTTAGAAGTGTATTACACCTGCAATATATAGCAGAGGCAAAGCTACATTTAGTTTCAACACAAAGGGGCTCTGCACACATGGCTTGCTCGAAGCCTTGTCATGTCATGTCATTGATGCTGAACTGCTGGCTGCTGTTGGTTGTGCACTATTTAGTTCACATGGCCTTTAACTCGCTCACAACTTTGCACAGTTTTCAGGGATCCCATTGGAGCATTTATTAAAGCCAGTTAAACAAGGGATTGGAAATGGATCAGACTTTTACATAATCGCTAGTGTTTTTTATATGTACAGTACGTATGTATGTACACTATAAGATTTCAGGTTCATCTCCCCAGTTAAATGAACCTCTGTGTGCTTCCCATCACTTGTAGCTCACTTTGCGTTTCAGATCTGGCCACACTGTGCCTGTAGTGTTTGGTAATGAAATGTTTCCGCATGCATGCGAGGCTGCAGTAAGGTGTGTGTGTGTGTGTGTGTGTGTGTGTGTGTGTGTGTGTGTGTGTGAGGGAAGCTGTGCAGGAGCATAGGGCTTGATAATTGGCTTGTGCTGGAGTGTCAGATGGCTGAAGAGGGGATAATGGCGGACTCAAGCTGCTGCCATGGGGGTGGGGGTGTGAAGGCCTCAAGTGAAGGGGGGGGGGGCGCAGGGCTTTTTTGTGAATGGGCCTCTCTTGACCCCCCCTCCCCCAATTCAGGCCTGCCGGGCGCTTTTGTGGAAAGGGGCTGGGAACCCGGGAACCTGGCAGCAAGCGGGTGACCTTCTAGCACCTCGCTCTAGCTGCCTCACCTCTCCCTCCCTTTCTCTTTCTTGACCCCCCTCTTTTATATTCTCCTCCTGCTCCCTGTCTCTCCCCCTCCCCGGCTCGGTCTGCTTTGTCCCATGTCTTATTTTTCAGTGCATCTATTTTATTTTAAGGCCTCTTTCTCTCTCTCTGTTAGCTATTGTAAGAAAGGGAATTATCCCCCTTCATTTAAGCGGGTGAAACACAGAGGGTGGAAGGAAGAGTGAAACAAAAAGAGAGAAGAAAGCGGAGCTGGAATTTAGTTATGGAATACTGAAGGAAACAGCGGAGGGAAGGGAGAAAATGGGCTTTTAGAGAAAGGATGCAATTAAGGAAGAAACTATTGAGGAAAAAATAAAGCGAGCAAGACATTTACTGTATTTGAAGAAGCCAGATAAATCTTCCAAGTTCTAAATCTTCATTTTACACGCTCTCTCTCCCTCCTTTTTCACCACCTTCTTTTCTGTTGGAGGGCTCAATGGCGATAAAGAGAAGGCAGTTGTTTTTGTGTAATGAAGTGAGACCAGGAAAAGCTGCCTTATTGAGTGTGGGTCTTTACTTCCATCATGCTAGGCACTGCTCTAGTCAGAGCTGCTTGCACCAATTTTATTTCTTTACGCCCTTATTTGTATGCTGTTGATATGATATAATATAACTAACCTGTAAGAAGAAATACTTTTTAGGTATTGCAATATTAATTAGTATATTCTAAATGACTCTTTGCTTTGTCTGGCTTCTTGTTCTGCTGATCATCTCTGGTGTGTCTTTAGGGTGCAATGTCTTACTGCACGTGCACATGTTTGTGTCTAAAACACAGTGCGAGCTACTTTACATCAGCCGACATAAACGTACATTTAAAAACTGTGAAATTTAAAACTCGGCGCACTGCAATGCAGCAGCTCCAGCCAGGATGAGCTAAAGACGGGGGAAAGTGGTGCCGGAGTGAGCCACCGTTGTAAGAGGCAACGGCACCGAGCTGCATGCATATGTGCTGTTTCTGAAAGCCTGAGCCTTTTCTTACGGTGCCGCTCTGAAAAGGTGTGTCTTGTGTGTTTCCTGCCACAGGGAGATCGCTTTCACCAGGCAGCTGCAGAAACAGTCCCCCAAGCTGTCCTACTACTACCTGGGCTTTTACATCCACTCCTGTCCCAAGATGCGGTATAAGGTATGCATTGTCTCACACTGACATGTACAACAAGTTTCTCATGTTTTTTTCACCTTTGTTTAAACAGCATCTCCATGTGCTGAAAAGAGGTTTGATACTTTGATCAAAACATAGTTGTTGAAACATTTCCACATCACTTCAGGCATTTTTCACATGGTATTATACTAGTATTAGGGCTGAACACATTAATATGTGTGGACGTTAATATATGAAAATAAATATGAATCTTACTGAGATTAAGACTGCATCTTACTGAGCAGGTCACGCTCTGCACAATACCCTGACTCTGTCGAGCTTCCTCATGTCTGAACCCAAATACGTCCAGATAACGGATGTACTGTTCCCCCTCTGACATGTTAAGTCATCTCTTGCTCTTCAATGTTCAGTTCTGCTGAGATCATTTCCACACAGTACTACTGCTAGCATGAAAGCGTGGGGGGGCATTTTACATTTCTTCAACTACTCCCTCTTGCACGAGTCACATGATGCTCAGGGTAGCACCTTTGCACGTGAAGCCCACGGGGCTGTTTCCGAACCTCTGATTGGTTAGATTGTGTAGCATTAATAAAACAAAACATTTATTGCATTTGTTACATCGCAAAGGCGATTTTTTTTTTATTTAACTGGTAATACCTAACTGGTATTACATTTAATATTTCAGTCTGTTGGCAACATGGAGAGGATTGCTGCAACACTAGATGGTCCTAGTGAGTTAAACTCCTGGCAGTGTATGTGCAATATTTTATATAACATACTTCTGCCCCTAAAACATGACGGCAACACTGTTCCTTTCTTTTATCTGTTCATGATAACTAGTTGTAATATAGTTCATATGAACTACAAGTCTTTGCCCATGCTCCCCAAAATGCCACGATGCTATATGACTGTCTGTCCTTTTACTGTACCGTTATCCTGTGTGCAGGACAGACGTTAAAGCTGTAACGTAGAGCTGTTTTATGGGCACATCAGGACGATGAGTCTGTGTCAGTCTCCAATGTTGATGCCTGTCTCACCATATTTACCTACACCGCTTCCTGTCTGTCAGGCCAGTGACAAAGTAGTTTGTTCTGCTGATTACTTTTGCATAATGTAGGTTTCCAGCCCATCTCTTTTTCCTCTTCTGCTTCTGTTATTATAGCTGCCGAGGCCTCTACAGGGGCCTACCTATGTGCTTCTCTCTCATTTGCACACCTGCTCTAATTTTGTATGTATTACAGTTTGGAATTCTGCTCTTTTGAGCTCAGTGACACATATCAAGTATATCTTTTTAGGATGAAATAGTAGATTAGGCTTTACCTAAAAGATAAACATTGAACAATGTGTTTAACAATTCAAAGGTAGGTCAGGGATGCTTTGTCAGAGATCCACTGTAGCTATCACGATGACGTGTACATGCAAATGCGTTTTACTCAAATGCACATAGAAGCATTATTAAATCCAAACAGCATATTCATGTGCTGTAAACCTCAAAGATAGGAGGGATAAAAACAAGGGGAAATTTAAGTCGGTGTGAGAGAGAAATAAAAAAAACGATGGAGGGGAGGTACAGGCAAGGTAGAGAGGCTGCTGAAGACATTAGAGGTTGAGAGGAGGGTCACACTGCTGGCGGCAACATTAACTCAGTAGCAAGGAGTGTGTTGCTCACGTGCGCACATACATGCATCGTTTTTACACAAGTGTAGTCGATGTACTTTTACACAAAATCGCATAATGGACATGCACATGCACGCAGGAGCCACTAGTCACAAACGTGCTCACATTCACGCCAAACGCCTCTTAAAGATCTATAGCCTCAGAAGTACGGTGAAAGAAAGCAGCCTTTCCAAGTCCAGTACTTTTGGCCAAGATTTACCATTCATCCCTTCTTTCTCTCATCCGTCTACTAATTCCTCCATTTCTCTGTCGTTTCATTCAGATGTTCCCAGAGATTGTTCTTGTTCATGGGAGACTGATGTCTTGTTGGCGATTATGGAAAAGTGCCACATCTTTTTGTCCATTTACAGCTTGTTTTGGGGTTTTGCGTTGTGCTTTGCCCATTTTCTGTGTATGGAATGCGTTTGCTCTGTTTACGTGTCTGTGTGTTGAATCTTGATCACGCTATTTGCCTGTGAACGCTGTTACCACAGCACCTAACCCCCCCTGCGCTGGTATTTACTCCCCCAACCCCCCATATCTGTTCTTGTGTGTTTGCCATTGCAGCGCCTTGTTCACCAACCTCCCCACTTCTTCCTATTTTACCCGTGTGGAGGAACACAGGACAAGGGTGAGAAGGTTGCCCAGTTCCCACCTTTTGGGCTCTCACACTCCCACAGAAACACAGCCGCGCTCCAACACACCCTCACCGCATGCACGGTGTCTCGCTCTATTGTCGGATTTGCATATGAGCCCAAGTAGTTCATTAATGCACAGGCATACTGTGGAATTGTTCAAGCCGCTAAGATGGGGGAGCCCCTAAACTCCACTGTTATTGTGTTGGAGGTTTTCTGGTTTCTAGATCTCCGTCCTGCTGCTTGCCTTTCTAAAGACCCAAACACCAGCACTTGAACCCTACTGGACACCACTCAAACCCCTCAAACACCACTCCCTCTCTCCTTTTTACCCATGCACACCCTCCTTTCAACCGCTGAACTCCCTCTACCCATCCGTTCACACTAATGTGGAGACATGTAAAATACACCGCTGCCGTTTTAGCCTTCAGTGCACGCTGGTGGTGCTTTTCACACCCAAATTCTGAGCTTTTGGGAATACTAAAAAAAAAAAAAGGTCTAAAATCAGTTTTCTCATACAGTGCTCTCATTCCCTGAGGAGTAATAGAAGTGCATTGTTTATGTAACTGACACCAGCAGCATAATGAAAGGCTTTTTCATGGTGAAAGTGTTCAAAGACATACCAGAGAGTTTATAATTCTAGTAGTAAGGGAACCTCTACCTGAGCTGTTTTTTGTTATTGTTGTCCCCTTGTGTGTTCCTGCTGTATGTGTGTTGGGGACTTGGCTGTGTAAGGCTGCAGTCATGAGAGTGGACTGACTCGTATCTGTGTTTCTTTTTTAGAGTGTTCTTGAGTTTTGAGTTGGTGGGGAAAAAAAATCTTTTCTGCCAAGTCGCATCTCTGCATGCCCGGGGGAACAGCTCCATGTGTGATGGGTTTAAAAGGTCTCAGCAGTGCCAAAGCCTGGACATGGTCCTGTAGCGCAGCCTTAAAGGGTCCTAGAAGACTTGGAGTCCAGCCAGGAGCAGGGGGCTGCCTGGCCAGTATCAGTCCCTCACCTTTGTTCTCAAAGCTAGGACGGAGCGTCCCACAGAGCCTTGCTGTTTTGGCTGCTGGGTTCAGGGTTAGACGTGACATCCTGCCCCTGGCTCCTGTCCCTGGTCCTTTGGCCCTCCCTTGGCCCTCTGATGTTGAGCTGTAGAGAGCAGAAGGTGAAGCAGTTGGAGGCTAAATGAGACCAAAGGTCTTGGCCCTTCTGCCACTCTTCTTTTTTTTTTTTTTCTTCTTTACTTTGCTCTCATGTGAAGCTAAAAGTCATCTGAATGAACCGCTCTTGGAGTGCTTATTTCTCTGTGTTGAGTGCATGCACATTTCTTGGGGCTTCCATAACAAAAAATAAATTGTCACTGCATGCTCGTTAAAAATCTGGCACCATTACGACATTTTGCTAAAAAAAAACTATCTAGATGCAGCTATAGTCTATTTTCTTTCATTGCCTGGGCTTCATGTTCTTGATGTGCTCTGCCTGACCCATCGCTTCAACTCGCATTGGTTTTTCTCACCATGTTTTATTCCCTTGTCCTCCAATAACTCCGCCATCCAGCTTCAGCAGCTCACAAAACATACTCGGAGTTTCATTAGCTTTCATTTGATCCATTTTGGACAGAGCGAGGAGTTAAAGATCCGTGCCACATCGTAGTGATTTTCCATTTCTTTGCAGAGGTGTGTGTGTATATGTGAGATCTTGTTCATGCCGGTTGTTTTTAAGTACTGAATAAGCAGACTTTGATGATAACAAACGAGGCGCTCACCCACTTGGCTTTACCAATCTGCAGTACCTGGTTTTAACAGATCAAGCACTTTTCAAGTGTGGCATACACACACACACACACACACACACACACACATGGACAGAATACCCAGTTAGTGAGGGAGTTATATGAAGTGGCTCTTACTCTTGTTATTATTGTTCACAGTGAAAGAATGTCTCGTTCTGAGCCCAGGAAACCATTACATTTTCCACAGAGGGGAAGAAAGAAGGAGTGAGCAAAATAAGTGAAAGGAGGAGGAAGAGGACAGATGGAGAGAGAAAAAAAAAAAAGGAGTGACAAAATGTGTGCCAAACGAGAAAAGGAGGCAAGATGAAAAGGATTATTCGTTTCCCGGCGGTACTTCACTGACTTTTAAAAGAGTCCTTTTTGCGGCAGCTGCACCTCCGTTCCCTTTCAGAACCAACTCCTCCTCGCTCACAAACAACAAACGCCGTCAGAGAGGCGGTCAGTTCTCTAGCAACAGCCATCAGTTTACCACATTGGCTTTTGAATTCAGTGGACCCGAAATGAATCCGTCCAGGTGTCGGGCCACTCACTGTGTGGAAGAGTATGCTGGGAACATGACCGATGAAAAGAATTTGACGTTGGTTTCAGTCAGTTGCTGCTCTGCTAATGTTTTCCTTAATCAGTGTGTGGCTGCAGGCTTTTCTGTCACCTGCTGCATGAGTTTAGTTCTCATCAATTAGACATGACAAATTGCCTCCCTCCAGCTCAGGCACAGGACCTCATTTTCTCAGGATGCACATGAGCTGCACACAGAGGTTGAATAGTGATGAATACAAAAGGACTCTTTCCTTTTTCTCACTGATTTAATTTCAGATCAATCAAATCCTGACTAGCTGGTCCAAAAGGAAAAACAATTATCATGTTTGTGAATCATTAGCAGTGCCATTGATGACCTGCAGCGTATATATTAATGTAATGAATCTCTCTTTCAAACGGTCCCGCCTCCTCTCCAGG